TTTTCTGAGATGGAGTTTCACTCTTGTTGCCCAGGCTGGAGTTCCATGGTGCGATCCTGACTCACTGCAACCTCTGCCTCTTGGGTTCAAGCGATTCTCCTGCCTCAGCCTCCTGAGTATCTGGGATTACAGAAACATGCCACCACATCCAGCTACTTTTGTATTTTTAGTAGAGCTGGTTAGGCTGAATCTGAACTCCCAACCTCAGGTGATCAGCCTGCCTTGGCCCCCCAAAGTGCTGGGATTACAGGCGTGAGCCACCTCGCCGGGAGCTGGATGAGGTTTTCGAATAACACTTTCCCCAAACCTCCATGATAACTGCAGAGTCTGTGCCCCACACAGACACCAAAACACATACTGATGCCACCACAGCATCTGCATCCACCACCGTCCCCAAGAACACCACACCCTCCATGATAACATCTACGCCTTCCACAGTTCTCAACACAGCCTCTAAATCCTCTGCAGCCTCTTCCACAGCCTCTGAGGCCACCATGACCTCTACAATAACATCTCTGCCCACCACAGTCTTCATCGCAGGCTCTAAAATCACCACGGGCTCTGAGAACCCCCAGCCTCCACCACAGACTCTGAGACCACCACAGTCTCCACAAAAGTCTCTGGGACAGCTGTAGAGTCTGTGCCCTCTCCAGCCACTTCCACAGCCACCATATGCCTGCCGAGACCACTACAGCGTTCGCGTCCACCACGGTCTCTCAGAACACCATAGCCTCCGTGAGCATGTCTGTGCCTACCATGGCCTCTACCAAGAGCACTGCTCTCTCCAAGATAACTTCTGTGCCCACTCCAGTCTTTATCAAAGCCTCTGAAGCCACCACAGGCTCTGAGATCACTTGGGCTTCCACCACAGCCTCAGGAGCCACTGCAGAGTCTGTGACCACAGTAGCTTCTAGAAGATTCTGAGATCCCCACAACGTGGATGATAACCTCTGTGCCTACCATAGCTCCCACCTCAGCTTTTGAAACTACTGGGGCCTTCTCCACAGCCTCTGAGACTACCACGTCCTCTTTCAAAATATTTGTCTCCACCACTTCCTAGCCTCCACTATGGCCTCTGAGGCCACCTCAGCCTCCGAGACCCACACTACCTCCACAATAGCTTCTGTGCCCACAGCTACCTCCATGATAGCCTCTGAGCACCCTGGGGGATTTTTGTCCATGATGGGCTCTGAGACCACCACAGCCTCCACTACAAGACCTGAGACCACTACAGCCATTGAAACCTCCATGGCTTCCCTCACAAACTCTGAGACCCCCACTGCCTCCATAACAGTATCTGTGCCCACAACAGCCTCCTCCACAGACTGAGACCATGACGGCTTCCGCTACAGTATCTGTGAACAACATGGCTGACAGCACAGCCTCTGAGGTCACTTCAGGGTCTGGAAGCAGTATGGCTTCCACCACAGGCTCTGAGACCACTACGTCATCCACAGCAGTATCTGTCACCTCCACAGCCTTTGCTTCGGCCTCATTGGCCTTCTTGGCCTCTACCACAGCCTCTGAGGCTACTGCAACCTCTGCCACTCTCTGCCCCTTTTGTACCCACTAATACCACTGACATTTCTACTCAGACCATCACCAACACAGTCGTGTCAGGTACTAACCCCCATGTCTTCCCTGATCACACACATTTTAATTCCAATGGCAGCTACCAGCCGTTCACTGGTTTCTATCATCTCTGCCCTGCCTGGAGTCAAGCCAGTACGGTGTTAGGTATCACTTCCTGACGGTCCTCTAGAGGTGAGATTGAGAGTGTGACCCTTGAGGAGGTGCACTACACTTGAAAAGAACTGCTTGAGTTTTCTAATTTCTATAAACAGAAACCTGGAGAACAGGCATTGCAATGGATACTAAAGGTGTGGAATAATGGTGGCAGAAACATAGTTAGATCAGGCTGAATTTATTGATTTGGTCTCACTCACTAAGTAGGGACTCCGCATTTAATGTTGCAGCTTGGGGAGTTAAAAAAAGGTTCTAATAGTTTATTTGCTTGGTTAGCTAAAATATGGATTAAAAGATGGCCCACTGTGAGTAAGCTGGAAATGTCTCATCTCCGTTGGTTTAATGTAGAGGAACGGATCCAAAGGCTTAGGGAGCTTGGGATGGTGGAGTGGATTAGTCACATTAGACCTACTCATCCCAGCTGGGA